ATTTGTGTGTGTGGCCAGCTCAGTCCACCAGGGGGCGGGGCTGGCTGGCATGTGGTGCTGGGGGATTGAACCGCGGTCCCTGATGCCTTGCCGAGCTTGTTCTAAGTAGGTGCTTTAGACCACTGAGCCATCTCACCAGCCCAAGCAACTTACTTTTAAGGTCTCTCAGTTAGAAAATAAGATTCAAACTCTTTAGAAGCCTAACTCCAAAGCCCACGTTCCACTTCACCTAAACCACTGAGCCCGGTTGTCTTTGTCTATCTTGGGACATCTAGGCAGGTGGATGAGCTGCAGCAACCTCTGGAGCTTAAACAGGAGCCAGAACAGGAGGCCTTAGAGCTGGAGCAAAGACTGATGCCAAAGCTAGAGCCGGGAATAGGCCTGGAGTTAGAGCCCCTGCTGGAGACAATCCTGGACCTTGGATCAGCGCTGGAGCCTGCGTCGGAGCCCACTCTGGAGCCAGTTCTGGACCTGAAGCCAGGGCTGCAGCCTGAACTGGAGCCCCCTGTGTTCATAGGATCACAGCCAGGGCCAGATTCAGATCTGCCTGAGGAACTGCAAAACTTGAGCACTGTTGACATGGAAAGTAAGTGATGAGCTGGGGAGATAGCTCAGGGGCTTAAGCACCTGCCCCGAAAGTACAAGGTCCTGAGTTCAATCCCTAGTGCCAAAAAAAAAAAAAAAAGAAAAAGTGATGAGACAGGACAAAGGGAAAGGTGACACTTTCCCTTTTTTCCCCTGCCCTCCCCCACCATTATAGAAGAGGTTGAACTCCAAGCTCCTCATGGGGAGAGGCTCATTTCCTGGTGATTCCTTTGATTAGGAAGTGCTCATGCCTCTCCCACCTATCCTGTTCCTCCATGGTTCATGTCCCCTTCCCACAAGTCCTGTCCAGGTCTTTCTTACATGCTCCTACACTTTTCCTGCTGGGCTGGGGCCTCACAAGTGAGTTCCGGGCCCAACTATTCTCTTCTGATTCCCTAGTCTTCAGGAACAGTGTGAATATTGAAGAGATCATGCCGAATGGGGACCCACTGTTGGCTTGCCTGAGCATCGTGGATGAGCCATACATCTCCTGCGCCAGCCATTTCTGCACAGACGGATCCTTGAATCCTGACTGCTAGGATTCAAGCTGTATTTCCTCTGTTATTTGCATTTTTTTGTCCTTCCCACTCCCCACATCATGACTGTGCTCCAAGGATAAGAACTCGGGCGTTCTCACCTGGAGTTCAGGGAGAGGTGAAAGAATAACTTGGGTATGGAAGGGACACCAGACTCAGACATGTGCTGGCCACAGTTCTGAAAGGATCTGGGAGGCTACCTGCTGTGTTGGGTGGTACAAGGGTACTCAGGAGGTCGGGACAGGTGGGCGGTAGTTGAAGGGCCCAGGGCAAGGACTTCTCTTCAGTGTGAAGGGATATCAATATTTTAATGGCTTGTACATCTAAATTGACGCACAGTAGCATTAGGCCTCAGTGGGAGGCACAGACACATGAAGAATCCACTACCACCCCTTTTCTGTTTAGATTTTATTGAACCCAGGGCCTTCCTTATGTGTGTTAGGTAAGGCTCTACTGCAAAGCTGTATCTCTAGCCCTTCGTTTCTCTCCTCTGGTTCCTAGCATAACGTTTTCCTTTCTTCCCTTTACTTCTGACTCCAGGTCTCAGTTTCTCCTTTTCGGCAGGGCTGAGAGCTTCCTGCTTTAGCCCACCATGTGAAGCTCTGTTCTCAGAAGGCAATAGGAGTGAAAATGCCTTCTTAGCAATCTCCTGCTCTTCTCTGCTCCCTACGCTGCCTGCATCCATTCTCCCATAAAATGATCCTGCCAGCCTACCCTGAAAAACTTTGTACCATATTTAGGCTACCAGTCCTCCACTTGCCCAGTGTAGAGATTTCAGTCCATAATTGTTTGGCTGCAAGGCAAGATAGCTTGGAAGAGGGAGATCAAATCACAGAAAAAAAGTTTATGGCCAGCAGAAGACAGCAAAAGCAAAGGCCCAGTGCTTAAGAGACAAAAATGACTTCTAGAAACTGGGATTGTAGGTTTTCTGGGAATTTGGGTATTGCTTTTTGCAGTATTGAATAGAATGTAATGTTTTACAGAAGGAAAACACCCAGCCTTAGCTATTTTTCCTTTAAGATATAATGCCTCTTGGACTGGGGAGATGGCTCAGTGGAATATGAGCTTCCCTGGCAAGCGCAAGGGCCTGAGTTCAATCCCTGGTTCCGGAAAAAAAAAAAAGATACCATGCCTCTTTTAAATAAAAAGATACAATGCCTTTAAAAAAAAAAAAAAAAAAAAAAAGATACAATGCCTCTTTTAATATTTTTTATTTTTGGTGGAACTGGGAATTGAACTCAGGCCCTTGCATTTGCGAGGGAAGCGCTTATTCCACTGAGCTATCTCCCTGGCCCCACAATGCCTCTTTTTAAAAATAAATGTATGGGGGCCAGAGAGATGGCTCTGTAGAATAAGCGCTTGCCTGGCAAGTGCAAGGGCCTGAGTTCAATTCCTGGTTCCGCAAAAAAAAAATAAATAAATAAAAATAAATGTATGGTTTACCTGAAAGCAAAATTTCTGTTTCTTGGGTAAAGACATGGGCAGAGACCAAGTTCCTGAAATTTAGAACTTTGAAGGTTGATCACAGAAGCCTGGAGATAACCACACTGTATCCACACCTGGGGAGCTCTAGGGCCCACTGCCACAGCTCCGAGATGGGTTTTTGGGATACCTTGAAATATAAATGAAAGTGAAGCTCTGCACATTGGCTATCCCCCTGCCTGGAATGTCATTGGAACCATCATCCTGATCTGAAAGGGACCTTCCTAAGCAAAAATGCCTAATAAACTTTGTCCTCACCTGGAAGAGCTTCACTGTAGAACTTCACTTCTCCGTTCGGAAAGTTAAATTACCCCCCACAATCGGGAATCAGACTTCTGACCTCATGCTTGCCAGGTAGGTGCTATGTCACTGAGCTAAATCCCCAGCAAAGTCCTTAAGGACATCAGCATATGGGGATGAAGCTGGCAAATAGGCAAATCATTTCTCTTCTATTCACCCTAGGGTACTGCTGTTACCATTTCTTCTTGCCCCTCAGACTGTAGGGTGGGAGTGAGTGGCTATATATCACTGTCCCATTGTGATTGGTGCCAATCCCATGACAAACCCAGGCCTGACTTCACTGCATGTTCCTGTGATGCTGGGACTATAGAGAAAAGCAAAGAAAATAATCATTAGCCTCTTTCCTCTTTTTTTTTTTTAATTTTTTATTTTAATTTTTGTGTATTTGGTATAGGGTCTCACTATACAGACTGGACTCATGGTGATCCTCCTGTTTTCAACCTCCTCAGCACTGGGATTATAGGCATGCCTCACCGTGCACAGACTTAATCAGTGGCTCAGTGCAGTCTGGGGTGGGGCCAGCGCAGCGTGTGGGACTGGGGATCGAGCCCTGGTTCCTGTGTTTGCCAAAGCAGGTGCTAAGTCCAGTGGTACAACATCTTTCCTCTTTATTTTTCCAAATATTTTGTTCGTTTTTTGTTTTTTGAGGCAGTCTCATAGTTCAGGCTGACCTCAAATTTACATTGATCCTGCTGCCTCAGCCTTCTGAGTGCTGGGATTGTGTGTGTGTGTGCTGCCACACCAGGCCTGCAAACCCCCTTCTGAAGGGTTTATAGATTATTTTTTAAGGGAGAACCCTAATGGTTCAAGGGATTTGTCTTCCTAGAAGGCCCTTCCCACTCAAAAGTCAGCTGATTTTGATCCTGCACTCATCAGGGTCCTATCTTTGGCTATATTCTTGGGCCAGAAAGTGAGGGAGAACACTGGGTGAAGGAGCAGGTAGCCGGCCCCAAGGAGTGCCTATACTTTCTAGTCACAACCTCATAATCCCTTTCTGCTTTCTCAACCATCCACTCTAGCAACTAAAAAAAGACCCGGTTTTGTTTTTTTTTTTTTTTTTTCTGATTTTTTGAGAGGCCTCACTATGTCACTCAGGCTGGTCTTGAACTCACTGTGTAGCCCAGGCCGGCCTCAAATTCATGTCACTCCTGCCTCAGCCTCCAAAGTTCTGGAATAATAGGCATGTGCCACCACACCCAGCTCCAAATATTCTTTTTTTTTTTTTTGGTGGAACCGGGGATTGAACTCAGGCCCTTGCACTTGCCAGGGAAGCGCTTATTCCACTGAGCCATCTCCCCAGCCCCTCAAATATTCTTTATAGCAAGGAGTCATGAAAGAACACCATTGTCCTTTCCACCATAGACTTTAAGGACTTTCCCCCATAGTCCTTAAGAATGGAAGAAATGTGTTTTGTAATCCCATGCTTCTACTTTTTTCCAACTGAGCCTAGAAATTAAGATTCATAGAGCTTGTATTGGGGTTTACTAGAGAAACATACATAACACAAGATATACAAGTGTGGGGGCTGGAGAGATGGCTCAGTGGTCTAAAGCACCTACTTGAAACAAGCTTGGCAAAGCACAGGGACCACGGTTCGATCCCCAGCACCACATGCCAGCCAGACCCGCCCCCTGGTGGGCTGAGCTGGCCACACACACACACAATAAATAAATGTAATAAATAAAAATAAATAAATATTAAAAAAAAAAAAGATATACAAGTGTGTATCTTTCTGGTGACAACTTCCCAAGAGAACATGCCTTTCATAAAAGATCTCCTTCATCCCTCTCCAGAAGAGAAGAGGAAGCATAAGAGGAGCACCTGGTGTGAGCCCCAGTTCCTACTTCAAGGATGTGAAGTGCCCAGGATGATATAAAATCACCACAGTCTAGCCAGACACACAGACAGTAGTTCTGTCTGCTGGCTGCTCCACTGTCTTCTGCCAGCAGCCTACAGGAGGAAAAGCATGGCTCCCAGAAGGATGCTCCTTCAAGAGGAAGCACTAACAGTACCCTGAATCAAGATGAATGGGAAGCCATTCCAGTGAACATATTTTAGATATAAATTAAAAACAAAGTTGGGGGGGCTGGGCAGATGGCTCAGTAGGATAAGCATTTGACTGACAAATGCAAGGATCTGAGTTCAATCCCCGGTTCCACCAAAAAAAAAAAAAAAAGGGCCAGGGCTAAGGGATAGCTACCCTAGAGGATGGGTCCTCCACACCCTAGAGTGTAAAATTGCTAAACTGATTTAGTTTCTGAACTTCTCAAGTTAACAATCAACCAACCACTGTGTAGAGCCACATAAATAAGTCTTTATTGAAAAAAAATAACATAATTCCTTATAAATATAATAAATAATCCTCCCCAAACTGTGAGGATAAATAATACCAAAATTTCCCTTCCCATCTAATAAATATGCAGCTTTGTCACAGGTCAGCATCATAAAGTCAGTATTGGTCATTTTTTAACAAGCAAGTCCTGTTAGAATTCACAGACTGACTCACTTGCTGCCTCTCAAGTGCCTGGGCTAATAGATTTATCACTCCCAAGCCACGGAGTGCTGAGTACCATCCTTAAGCTGTTGGCATTAGGGGCTCAGGGTTGCTGCTCCATGGCCAAAGACGCGGGCAACTACAGCCACAAAGGCCTGGAGGCTGCGAAAGATCTTGATACGCAGAAGGAGGCGCTGCCAAGGCTGGTTGGGACTGAGGCTGAGAGTCTGAGGCTCCCATTGGTGACCCTCAGGCTGAAAGGAGGCAACACACAATCAGGACTGTCCATCCCAGGCCCTGAGGGTCCCCTCCCACTCCCCAGGATCTGGTTCCTACCTGCAGGAGTTGGCTGAGCCCCAGCAGGGAGGCATGGAGCTGGCCTACAGGGCCATCAGGGTGTAGCGAAGGCTCCCCTGTAAAAATGTCTGAGCCCAGTAAATGCTGGTAAAAAACCAGACCCTGGTAGATCCTCTGCAAACAGAACTGGGAAGAGAAGAAGCAATGAAAGCAGGTAAGTACTCTTCTTCATTCACTGAAGACCAACCCGGTTCTTTACTGTGCTCAGACACAACCTGTAGTTCACCTCCTTGCCCACCCGTGTCCCTAATCCCCTCTGCCGCATGGCTCAGCTTCGTATCAGTGATACCTGACTGTTGTCCTTGAGTCCTTCGGGATCACACCCATCGCCACACTGGATATGGGGGACATCATCTGGAGGCTCTTCATCTTGCTCTTCTCTTGGTGGATCCTGGAATGAAGGAAAGGATAAAGCACCTTTTTTGTGTGTGCTAAGGCTGGAACCCAGGGCCTATGCCTGCTAGGCACGCGCTCCGCCACTGAAACATCCACAGCTCACCAAGTGTGAAGCCCACCAGCAACTTGGGATCTTGTTTTCCCGGGGCCCCAGGTTCCCATCCTCTCTCACTCCCTGATGCCCTTCAGCCCTATATCTTCCACCCAACCCTGCAGCCACCAAAGACCGGAGAGGTTTGCACTGTTTGGTCCCAGTGTTAGACACTCACCCCTTCTCCTACTGATGGATGTGCTCTCCAAGCCAGCGTGCAGAGCTTCTGTGACAGCTGCTGGCACTGGGCCCAGGCAGGGCTGCTGCTCCCAGAGACCACTCGGGCCTGCACAGTCCAGGGGAGCAGCAGTAGCAGCATCACAGCTGTGCTTCCCAGCATCTTGTCACCTGCTTCTCCAATCTGGCTGGCTCAGTTTCTTACACCAGTCCTGGTGGAATCTGCCCACTCCCCTTGCTCTGGGCCAATTCTCTTCTGTTCTGTGTCTGGTTCTGGTTCTTGCTGTTCACAGAGTTTCTGAGCTGGTTCCCCTTGTTTTTCTCCCTTTGTCTGTGAGTCTTTTAAAGGTCTCTCCAGTGCAAGGCCCGCCCTTGACACCAGCAGGTGACTCACAGCAGGTGGGATTCCCCTCCCTGCATCATCTGCCTCAGCGGGGAGCCCAGGTATGCATCTGCTGCTCCAGGGGAAATGATTAGGAAGGTTGCTGTGGCTAGAGGCCTGGGACAGGACACATGTGTAATGCTCTCCAGGAATCGAAATGGCCATAGAGGGGTGGGGGAAGTAACAAACATTTAAATTAATCTGGCCTCAAGAGTTCCTTCCTGATTAATCTGATTTTCTTTTTTTTTTTTTTTTTTTTCTTCCCAAACCTAATTTCCTCATTTCCTCTTGCTTGAGCAAAAACCCAAACAGAAGCCCTTGCTCATCTCGCGGGAGGATGGTAAAGGAAAATGGGGTAAGGTTTGGTTCGAACCTGATGTCCACTATGTAAGAAAAAAGGGCCTTTTTTTTTTCTC